AAAAAAAAAAAAAAAAAAAAAAAGTAAGGTACCTGAATATTTATAGTTGATCATTTCATTTTTTATTACATCGATGTCACGATGGAAAATATTTTTCAAGTATAAGAGCTTAGATTGTAAAAATGTATAAAAAATTAATTTTCATTTCTTCATTAAAGTAATCCGTTTTTAAAAAGATGAAAATTTGAGCTTAACTGTGTTACGGCAGATTGAACGCCACTTCAGAATTTACCCCAGTTTTTCAAAATATAGTTGGAACGCCGAGGGGATGCATACAGACGCGGGGTCGCACCCCACAAGCCTCCCCCCAATGACTGAATCCCTCGCCACATGGGCTCCTCTTGGTGGCGTGTTTCCATCTGCTTTCATCTACTTACCCAATAATAACGATTTTCCATCCCCTCTTGATCTCCCTGAAAACTTTGCGACCGTGTAGTGAGCATTGGATGACGTCGCTAGACGCCGAAACTCGGATGTGTGTGTGTGGTTTCTTCTGCGCTGTCGCCGACGAAACATGGAAGGTTGTTATCAATAGCATCAGTGGCAAGAGCAAATCATAATTTTTATCTGCCACCCTTTTTGTATTTGTCAACAAAACTAGAAAATTTTCAATCTCTCTGACGCATCCGAAATTACAAGTTTTTTCAAATTGACACGATGCGAATATAACGAGTGTTGAGTGAAGGGGTGTGAAGAAACATTTGAGACAGTTTCTTTTTTTGTCATACCCATCAGTTGCCTTTATTCCAACGTAACATCTCAACATCATTTAGCAGTGTGTAACACCGTTGTTTTTTATTTTTCGTTTTTTTTTTACAAGAATATAAGGAGAAATTTTGTGAAATGGGTTCAATAGTGTTGAGATCGTTGTCGATTCTTCTTGGAATATTCTTCGTATTTGTGGGAACAATCAAGGTTACTTCATACCTTAGCAAGGATCTTCACAAGGACTTGGTAATTACTTAAACTATTGAGATAATGTAATTTATTTTTTTTCCAATAGAGATATTCGAAATTGCTATTATATAAGAATAGCGTGGGACGCTCTGGCATGGGGACTGTTGACAGGGTCGACTGACGCAGACGTTTGAACTTGTTTTTAAATGATGGTTCTACTTTATGGGATAATATACTTTATCTGTTTATTTATACAGTTTTCAAACTCAAGCCTGCAATATGGTGGTTTTCATACGAGTAGTGAAAAGCATTTATAAACACTAAAATGAGAAAGGCAAAACATTAAGCTGTTTATTTATAATCTGCGGCCAAACTTGAGGATTGTTGAGTCTTACGATTCGCAAAAACATTCATCAATTTATTTTCTTCCGTCGAGTACCTAATTATTAACATTATCGATTTTCATTGTATTGTGTTGTCAAGCTGCGTCAATGATTATATCGGAAAATGAATTTTCAGCTTATTAATTCCCATTCGAGGCAATGAAGATGTTATTTTAGCACTCATTCAATCAAATCAGCAGATTGAATTGTCCTGTGAAATTTGGGAATATTCAATAAATATCTTCCAAGTTGCCTCACGGTCGCCAAAAACCTTCTCTTATTTCTATTTTTGCACTAACAGTCTTCTTTGCTACATAACAGTGATTGTGTCAGCTGAGCGGCTTGTTAGACTTGGTACAACGCCAGCATTCGCTGAAATTGATCACATTCATGCACGCGATGATAAGTCATTGTTGTTTGTCCAAAGAAAAAAAATTTTTTTTTTTACAGCGAAAAGAGTATGTAAAGTATGCCAAGGTGTTTCCACTCTCGGAGTTACTCAACTTCAAAGTACCGAGCAAATGGTACAGACGGGTTGTTGGATCATTGGAGATTATTTGCGGATTGGCAATGGCCACTATTCCAAATCGTGAGACCAATAAAACCACTCATATGCAGGGCCGAGGACTTTGTCTAATAAAAACAATGCAAAATGCTTGTTAAATGAAGTCCCAGGCCTAAACCCCCCATGTATTCCTGTATCTTTTATATTGATTGAACGAAATTAAATTTTCAGGGAGAGTGAAAAATACATCCAATGCAATTCTCTTATTTCTCATGCTGATGGCCTTCTACTCGCATTATAGGCTTAACGATAAGCTGGAAAGAACAGCACCTGCATTGGTAAGAATTCCAATCGCAATAGTAAAATCTACACATACCGGATGGTTTACTCATTATTATCGCGATATTTCAGGTATTTTTGTTCATGCTGACTGGTAGACTAGTCATCGACATGCAGCTGAGTCGCCAGGCGAATCAGACGGCAACGGCGAATGGAATTGATGAAAAAGGGAAAAAGCAAGACTGAAAGAAACGACATTGAAACAGAAAATCCTTCCGACCTTATATGATTTTTTGAAATGGATATGATCCAGCGAGCAACTGTCCCGAAGTTTTCTTCACTAGGCTCATTCTTATTGCTCATTAAATGAACATACATCGTCAGCATATGCCGGATAAAGGGCAGAATTTGACATCTGTTTATTGGGATAATATTCTGATTGCAGATTAATTTTCATCCACAGTACCCCACGCAATAATCAGCTTTGAGCGGCACAATTAACTAACTGCCTTTCATAATCGGTATTTCTAGGGATGTATATAAACAATAGATAGATTAAAACACTCATTGAAAAGCACCAATTGCACACTCATCCTGTAAACCACGAGGGATTGATTTTATATCATAACGATAATGATAGTATAATCACAATAATTGAACATAAAGTGAAGAGACTCTAAGACAAGGGAAAATGAACCCTCATCAGGGGGCCTATTCTCGAAATATTTCCGTGCGCGGAATCGACTCCGTTGACGGAACGCCTATATGATTCCTATACGCAATTCGTCTACGAAGCCACTTCCGTGCACGGAAATATTTCGAGAATAGGCCCCCTGGGTGAAATGGATTCCATTTGGGGTAGATTTGTTTGCGTGCAGGGACCTACATAAATAAGAAAAAGATGAGCGGGGGGGGGGGAATATGTGAGCTATTATAAATAAATGCCTACACATAAGTTTCACCATAGGAGTGTTCATTTTGATTGAAGAAATGTATCAGTAGAATAATCATATGGAATCTAATATTATTTATTTTAGACATGTAAATAATGGGAAATTTCATGCAACTTTAGGAAAGATTATTGTTGGTGAAATGCATTCAAGAGTATATTGTATTGTCCTTATGAATATAACTCAATAGGATTTATTCAGGCCGTGAACTGCCAATGATTGAGTTATTTTTATGGGAAGAAAGAGAAAAGGGAAACAGCTTAATAATGATTTTGATTTGTAATTGTGACACCCCAGCTTTTATAAATTCTTTCACCTTTCACGTGAACCGACCTGTTCCTCAACTAGCCAAATACCGACACCGATTACTAATATTTCATAATGGTTGATAATAAAAGGTAAGAAATGACCATGCTACAATTTTTCTTTAAGCTAACAATTAGTTTATATTATTTTAGTTTTCCATAATATTGTTTTATTATTTACAAGCATTCCAAAATTGGAAAAACGCTTCTGCAGCTTCATAAAAAAAATATGGGAAATTGATCATTAGGTCGTTTTCTAATATCTCCATTCGAGAAAGCGAATGTCGCAATCATCTTGGATTATTTTGTCTCTTTTCATTAGAGATTAGTAAACAGCGATATTTTTGCAATATAAACGAATAAGTGCACAGAGTAAAATGTACCTTGGAGAGTGTATTACGGTCGCAAGATATTCAGGAATCTTGCCCGGTTGTTAACAAGTGGAGAGCTTTCTGTAGATTTTGTACTGCCGTTGGAACATCATCGTAATTGACTGCGCTTCCTGCCCATTTTATGTATTTCGATACTTTCGTCATTTGTTCTGCGGTCAGAGTGATTTCGCCTAAACAAAAGCCAGACATTTATTTTCTTTTTTTTTTAAAAAGAAAGTTTCAATTCCAGGAGGGTATGATTTATGATTAATCAATCGAGTATCAAGACTTACCAGCATTCAATCTTGATGAATAATCAACCGAGGGATTGGTGGTAATTGGAGTCGATGGAGGATTGTAAGGCTGTGGGGTCGAAGGGAGAGAATTGTCCGATGGAAGAGAGGGATAAGGGGGTATACTGGAGGTCGCTGGTGTTGCTGGGGGATTTGTAGCACCAGGAGGCGATGGGAAACCATAAGGGTCTGCACGAGGTGGCGGTGTAGGCTGAGATGGTTCGGCTGAAAAATAAAAAAAAACAAAAAAGTTGGTCAGAGAATCCAAATCATTTCGATGAGAATCTTCACTCTCAATGATTATGATAAATTCAATTTCGCCAATACACATTAGGTGATTGAAGCCATGAATATGTTTAAAGCGTCACTGTGCATAAAAACGAATGGACACTGAAATGATTGATGAGCAGCAACTAAGTACCTTCTTCGTCATCATTATCGGATGCTAAGAAGAGAAATGACATTAGTGAATTAATTACATCATGAAGCCTAATTGAGTCAACTACTACTATACTCAGCTACTGAAAAGAACCAGGTGGGAAAATTACCAGGCTGTGGGGGTTTATCGACCTCCTCTTCGACCCCAGCAGTTTCATCTTTTAGTTCCGATTCAGCTTCTGCATCGTGTTTCTCGTCTAATGATTTATTATCACTCATTATATTGACAATCATACCTAGTGGAAAACTAGAAACTCATCTACCAAGCAGTACTTCCTTTACCTTGTATATTCTCGGCATTATCAAAACCCTCGGGTTCGGCTTCAGGCTCCGCTTCATTCTTTTCTTTTTTATAAATAACCCACAAAGGATTAATTACAAATACCCCCAATATTAACAATAAAATTATCATGGAATTTTTTAAAATTAAAATTATTTGCTTTACCTGCTGGATTTTCCAGACTCTCGGATTTTTCCAGTTCATTATCATCATCAGAGTTATCAAGTTGTTCATCTACATAGATAGATATTTGTAATGGATAAAACATTGAAAAAATCACGAATTCACGGAGAGACTTTCAATTGAGCTCAGTCTGGACTCATTACAAAGAGAAAGAGTTGAGAAGGGAAAAAAAAATTATCCCGTTTCATTAACGCCTTAAAACAATCAGTGCCTAATGATTCTACAATCTACCTGAGTTTCACATCAGACATAGAATAAACAATAATGCCTCACCTGGTTTTGGAGGCACCTCACTGTCGTCCTTTTCAGAATTAACAGGACCCGGCACCGGAGTCTCTCCGTTCTTCAAACAATTGTGAATGTAAGCAGCCTTCCATTTAGCATATTTTCTATTCTGCGCTGCCTCATCGGTCAATTCCCCAAAAGTTGTCAGCACGTCATACAGCAATCCAGCGGTGTAAAAACTCTGTATGACATTCTTGGTGAAATTACCGGCACGATCGTTCTTGTCAGCAAACAGAAATAGTTTGAGTGCCCAATTTTCAAGATGTGCCTGTGCGGCAACTTCATTAGTTATAGCCTCGTTGTCGTGTTGTTCCTTCTTCGTGGTTTCAAGCCAGTCCATAAGTTTAATGAGGAAATTACGCTCTTCTGGGCCCTTTGAGCTGAGCTTCATGCCGGTTTGTAAGGCATAGAGGCGTGCTACAACCAAAAATGATAGTTGAAGCGAATGGTTTTGAATTTTCATTAACTCGAGAATGACGGAGGGGAAGTTTCTTCATTTTCATTTCAATTTCAAGGTATTTTTTTAAGCTTCACAGCTTTAAATTTCATAATTTATCATAATCGCGCGGATCGTATGACTAATATATATATATCGCTGATTGGAACAGTCATTTTATTCGTTGTATTCAATATCGCTTCGACATACCCCAGTAGCTGACAACCGGATCCCGTTGATCATGCTCATTTGCAATCTTCAAGTAGGGTTGAATACTCTTGAGGCTCGCTGGAAGCTCCGACAACTCTGGAGCGGGCATTGCGAATGACAATAGACAGTTTTTTTTTACTTGTGGAAAGGCTTTTTAATTTATTCAAGATTTATCTGCGTATTATTAAAAACTCTATTCCGTTGACTCGATGACGGCAATAATACTCATCAGCGTCATCAGCTGTGGGAGTCTAACCTTATTTTTCGTTTACTACATAAGCACAACACTCTCCTCCCTGTTGGGGCTGGAGTATAGTGAATCCAAAGGAAGAGTTCGTTTAGAATTGCTAGTAATCCTTATTGCCCCACCACTGATCTCAGGAAATTATCTGCTAGTTCTACTATATGTACAGTGGAAGAGGAGGTCCATATAGCCATTCTACTACGTCGTTGCCACAAGAGAATGTTCCTCGTGCATCTTCGGATTCACAAGAAACCGGGAAGACAAAAGAGTGTGCACGGGTTCGGGCAAATACCGAAGGCCATTCTCTGGTGGAGAGGAGTATAAGCTTATATTATTATACCCCATTCGCATGAGAAGAAAATAGTGGGGAGTTCTCAGAACGTCGCCCATTATTGCCCGATCGACGTAAACTTGAACCAAACGAATTTTTTGTACTTGTTGTTAAAAGAGCCATCGGTTTCAGTGCACAGTGCGCTCGGCGCTCCTCTCCCAGACGCCGTCGGCTTTACAAATGTCACCTCAATTCCTCAAATTATCCAGTTTTTTCTGAACCAAGTGAATTTCCCGAATTCAAGTGAACACTATTGTTTTTTGAGGCAAAAAAATTAAACGAGAAATAGTCGCTGAATTGAGAAAATAGGAGATACCCGGGTTGCACCGGGTTGACTCTAACAACCACTCCATAACCTTAAATCTTGAGTTGAACCGCCTTGTGCTTCCTTACTCATGTAAAACGTATTTGGTTGATTGAATCGAAATGGTACCTCTCGGTCTATCACCAGGTCACCAGACCTCTGTCAATAATACATCGTCCACACCTACAAGCGGCTCAAAAGCAAGTTCCACCTTGGTATCGTATCATTTTCAATGAATGTTTTTTTTTTACCATGTGAGCCACATTCTTATACACAATCATTTCCCGTTTATTTTGTTTAGAAACCGAATTACACTCTGAAATATACACTTGCTGGACACACGAAGGCTGTTTCATCTGTTAAATTCAGTCCGAATGGTGAATGGCTGGCTAGCTCATGTAAGTAGAGGTTTTTTATGGATCATCAATATCTCCTATTTATCTAGTGTCGTTTCAAAGTACTTGTACTTTATCCTACTGTTCACGGAATAATTTTGCAGCTGCTGATAAACTCATAAAGATATGGGGTTCTTATGATGGTAAATTTGAGAAAACAATAGCTGGACATAAATTGGGTATATCAGACGTAGCGTGGTCCAGTGATAGCAGACTTTTGGTATCAGCATCTGACGATAAAACACTTAAAATTTGGGAACTCAGCTCCGTAAGTCTCCATGAAGATGTAATTCTAGACAGATTCGACTGTTGCATTGGCACTTATTGCATTGTTTTTTACAGGGGAAGTGCTTGAAGACCCTAAAAGGTCACAGTAATTACGTATTTTGTTGTAATTTTAATCCCCAGTCGAACCTTATCGTATCTGGATCCGTAAGTTTTTTTTTATATGAATATCAAGTTTAGACATTGTTATACTCCTGCTCCATAAGTAGATGATAATTATTTTATACATGTTTTTAGTTTGATGAGAGTGTCAGGATTTGGGATGTAAGAACAGGAAAGTGTCTGAAGACACTACCAGCTCATTCAGATCCAGTGAGTGCTGTACATTTCAACAGAGATGGCTCTCTAATTGTGTCAAGCAGTTACGACGGTCTATGGTATGTTGAATTCTCATTCATTTTGTATAGCCTAAACAGCACAAGGCCAATTAACTGCACTTTTAACAATAAAATCAATAATATCTTAAATTCGAAAATATTCAAAGATATCTTTCGTAACATTGTTACTATTAAATTCCAGTCGAATATGGGATACTGCATCTGGGCAGTGTTTAAAGACCTTGATCGATGATGATAATCCCCCTGTATCTTTCGTGAAATTCTCACCGAATGGAAAATACATTCTTGCAGCAACATTAGATAATACACTCAAGCTTTGGGATTACAGCAAAGGCAAATGCCTCAAAACCTATACGGGGCATCGTAATGAAAAATACTGTATATTTGCAAATTTCTCTGTGACCGGAGGCAAAGTAAGTTTTTCAATAATTAAAAGAACATTTTTTCTTTTTATTGTAATGAGAAAACTAATTAAAATATTTTTTTTCTCTTCAGTGGATTGTTTCTGGTTCAGAGGACAATATGGTGTACATCTGGAATTTACAGACAAAAGAAATTGTACAGAAACTTCAGGGACACACAGGTAAATCCATAAAATTCTCATCAAATTTCAATAAAACACAAATAATCGCAATTAATATAACGATAATTGATTTTAGACGTTGTTCTCTGTACGACATGTCATCCAACGGATAACATCATCGCATCAGCGGCATTAGAAAATGATAAAACGATAAAATTGTGGAAAAGTGACACGTAGATGTAGGTAGATTTTTCCCCGGAAGATAGAAATAAGGGCTGTCATTCATTATGTACAAATTGAAATCACGACCTGCAAGAAAACCTGCAATAGGCAAAGGGAGCAGGAATTTTATTTTCGTATCGAAATAATATGAAAAATTCATTCGCAATTTCTCTTCAAGATCAATATGAGACAACTATTTATAGTAAAAAAATTGAATTGTCATTGTTTTTTTTTCAAGACTAAAATAAGCTTTCAAAGTTATACTATTATGCTACAGGAATCACAACCATTTCCATTATAAATATAAATACATACTGTTTGCCGTAAATAAAGATGTTTTCCATTTGTAATTCATGGCTCTCCTTTTTTCATCATCTCCCACACTTGTCAAGTAGAAAATAAGAAATATGGAATATACTGAAGAGAGATCACTTGTATAGTAGTAATAACATTTGCAAACATTTTATTAGATCCAATTTTCATCGAAGCACATACCTCATTGTTTCATTCACATTTACTTCGGCTAACACTATGAATGCATAAATAATGAAGCGAGACACAACGAGATGTCAATCATAATTGTAGTAAATAGCAACTAACATTAATCAAAAAGATTGTTAATATTTTGCTTCGTGTACAGAAATGGAAAAAAGCCAATTACAATTCAGATGCAGTTTTCTTTTTCCTCTCTGATGATCGTAAAGTACGTAGTGTTTTTTGTCGATATTTCCATCAAACAAAGCTCTTCAGAAGGTCAGTTATGTAGAAAGAGAGGTCTGGTATCTCCCCCAGTAAACCTGTAAGCAATGAAACAAAAGTTGAGTAATCCAATTCTATTAATTCTGGCAATAATAAAATTGCAATTGAATAAGCAAATACTCACCGACAACATCACAATATTCATCGAACGACGCACAAGGCAGCAATTCATCTCGGTAAGCAACGAGAACTTTTTCAGAAGCTTTGAGCATTGCTTCATCATTTTCCCTGATATAATCAGCCAAAACAGTGGACCATTGTTGCTGTGACGAGGTCATTTTCGCAGAAAGACTGGGATCTTTGAAGAAGTTTCCATAAATGGCATCGATGAGTCCAAAAAAGATGAGGACGCTCTTATAAATAGAGTAATCTTTGACAGTGGTTTCAGTGATGGTTTTGGTGGGCCCAGAGGGTGCGATATACCTCTGATGTGCCAAAACAATGAGCCTCCTCAAATGGATGAGTTTCTCCTGTTGCCATCGGGCTGGTGGATGTATCATAAGTGAAAGAACTGCTTGATAATAAGGGCCTTCAGCCTCATAACAACTGTCCAACCAGGATGCTGAAGGCGAGGACCTCAAGTAGCTCGTCAGCTGCTGCTCCTCTTTACCCCCAGATCTAGTGGTATTCATTACGTAAAGGGCCATATGAGTGAGATAAGGAATGATGTGCATATTGGATTGAGGTCCACCACCGCCGGTATCATCATGGAAACTCTTCTCCTGTGCAAATCTCAGCAACAACAGCTTCAAGTCGTGAATTGTCGACGAATAAGAGATATCCCTGTGGCCAGTTGACTCCTGGAGATAAGTATTGTGTCTAGCTAGGCAGGTAGCAAAGGCTGATTCTGGCACCTGTGGTCCCCAGAGAGGCAGCAAACCATTACACTTGGTGTTGGCATTTTGGAGAGCTGCGCTCTCCCACTCATCCCTAGCTCTCGCCAATCTCACAGCTGACACGTGACAATCCACATGAACAACATTGAAATGCGTTACAGTTGTGTATCCTACTGTCTTGCGTTGTTTCGTCTCAAATTCCTCGACATTGCAACGTTTTGTAAAGGTATAAATACCAAGGACCAGATTTGGCTTGAATTTGTAGCCCTCACGACAGATAACACAGACTAGACCAGTCTCATCCTCCCCAAGATCCTCCATCTGTTGGAGAATAGTTCCTCCACTTGCTGCTGTCACTTGGCCTTTGTCATTTGTGCGCATTCCAAGGGCACCAAGTTGACGTTCTCTCATTGCCATAGCCAGACGTTTCTTTTCACTTCGTGTGTGTTGCCTTGCCTCCTCGATTAGTTGAGCCACCTTGGTATTGGTGCAGAGGGCCTCCAGAAGGTTCTCAGCGAGTGACCCAACGTGTTCGTCCGAAGATACTTGTTCGAGTCGATGAATTATGCTGATAGTTACTGGTGATACTGCGAGCTGGGTCAATTCATGATGTGTAGCCAAACCAGTGAGAAAACGGAGAATGTATTTGAGTGCTGGTTTTGAGATAAATTCTTTCAATTCGTCACTGTCTGTACGAAGTAGAGTTGGTTTTACACATGGAGCGTATACTGTGATGTATTCAAAGGCATTTTTAACTATTCCCATATCAATTATGTAATCTTTCAGGGTATTTCCAATGGAATTTCTCTCAATTCCCTGGGTTAGAATACAGAAGAGCTCCAGCTTTTGTTCGTCCTCTGCAGTGTGTTCGTAATCAAACTCGTAGAAATTCAGTACAGGCTTGAAGAAATCGCAGAGAACAGCCATTTTTTCTTTATTTCCATATGTCAAGGCTGCTAAGACTCTAGCTAGGTGAATAAGAACATTATTGCTCTGTCTGACAGCTGAGGATTGAGTGCAAGAGAGGAGAGCTTTCACGTGTTCAGGGCCTCCAAGAGTCGTTGAAAATTCCTCAAATGACTCTAGAGATTGAGATGTCGCATTTGCCAGAATCGTCTCCATTATGTCGAGGAGTTGTTCTGTTACTTTAGCCTGTGCCTGACCGGTCGTCTCGGATGTTTCTGTTGCCAGGCATCTCTGGAGGACTTGAAGAAACACAGTAACAGCACCCAATTCTGGTCTACTCAATACTTGTTGATTCTTCTTCACTTTGACAGACAGTCTGAAGAGCTTAAGAAGTACTTGAAGTAGCGGTCGAGCTCGCCCAACGTCGTGAATAGCAGACAAACGATCGAGCATCACTTGTAGCCCTCCACAATCAGCAAGAACATTAGCCATTTTATAGACTTCCTCATTATTAATCTCCTGTTCACTATTTGCATTGAGAGTCTCCACAAATTCTTCAGTGGCATCACCAAGAAGTCCTCGCATTCTATATACAACTCTCATGGCATCACATTCCCCACCTTCGTGAACCCAAATCTTTTTGTAGACATCCTTGACAGGCAGATCCAAACTGATGATCTTGTTATTCACCAAGAGTTCCATTCCATTGTCATCTTCCAACAGTGCCACCAATTCACAGTCTTGACAAATTTTATTCTTCACATCCCTCATCAATGGTCCCAATCCAGGCTCTAGACTGCTGTACGGATTACCCAACATTCTGCCCTGAAGGAAATCTTCCTGCTGTGGGTCTTTCTCCAGTGTCAAAAAGAACTCCCCAACGTCATTCTCCTCTGGGTATATTATGGAACAAAGTCTCTCGAATACAAAAACTGGTGTACGAACATCCTGAGGACTGTATTTCTGAACAGTTTCTACGCAGACAGCCATGAATGCTTTGGTCTCTTCTTCAGTGCCTGAAGTCATCTCTTCCAGAAGCTCCAGCAATTTCTCTTGAGTATCATCGATCAATCTAGTCCTCTGTACAACCAATCTCCTCAAAGAGAGATATCCATTGAGAACAGCACCAACCAATCTCCCTTTGTACTGTTGCTTGATATTCTCTTGCTCCAAGAATGTCGCAAGGAGTTCTGTCAACATCTTCAATGAATATCCCTGTGACAAATCACTCGTGAGTGTTGTCTCCTCCAATCGATGCAATTCCTGAATTTCACGAGTCAACAAGTCAGCCAATTTAATCATAACTCCACATCTCACGGCGAGGAATTGCTTCCAAGGTAGTTGACGAATTAGACTCTGGTAAAGGGACAAAAATTCTGCACTGCTCTCCCCAGCAGTCCTCAATTCCTCCAGATAACCAGTCATCAGGACGAGAATTTTCTTTTTTCTCTCTGTACCTTGGCAGAGACTCTCTACCATATTACAAGCAACTTGTCTCGCTAATCTTGAGCTTGGATTGAAGAGAACTTCTTTCAGCCAGGCGCCATCAACTAGTTTTAGCGGTTGAATCTCCCTCAATCGAGTGCAACGATAATGCCAGCGGTGGCCATATTTCTCCATGAGGTACAGCACTCTAGCTTCATCCTTCTTAAGTGATTTATTCGATCCATGAGGGAGAGATGTCTTCTTCGCTGGCATCCTCTGTAGCCACTCTGAATAAGAGTGTTTAGACTCTCCATTCAACCATTTAGCAACATCAATGCTGACACCCTCTGGTGGCGGTTGAATTGTCGCCAGGGACTCGATGGTCTTGTCCTTATTCTTCTTAGACACCGGCTGATCTGGTTTTATTAGACTCTGGAGGATCTTCAAAGAGGGTAAAATAAGGCTCTCCATGACAACCGGACTCTTTGATTCCTTGCAGGCCATCAGGAAGAGCTGCATGACACACCGAAGTTTTTGTTCCCAACACGAGTCATCCTTCTGCACCAGAGCTGCCAATAGCGACATCTCATGACGTACTGCCATTGCAAGATCTGAAGTTGATACTCGACCTTTCAGTGTCATGGTGACACGATTCATCAGCAATGTGCAGAGCTCTTTGGTCGACTGGATGTTGTCCCTCGTGACTAAGCAGAGAAGCTGACGTACCTCTTCCTGCACTTGGACTGTTCCCCTTCGTAAATTATTCTCGATCAGTTCCTGAATGAGACCCTGTTTGCAGAGAACTTCACGTGCCGCTGAATTTGTTGCCAATGCACGAAGAAGAGTGAGACAATGTTCAGTGGCAGCTGTGGCACATCCATAACATCTCCCCGATACTGGAGGTATAATTATTTTTTCCTCTTCATCATCCTCCAATTCCTTCTCTTTCTCCTCCTCATCGTCTTCACTCTCCTTGGAGATTATTTGTCGTTTATGCTGGAGACATCCTCGTTGATTTCTGTCGTAAGCCACGAGTTCTCTTCTCCAGGCAATTACCCGCTGAATAATCTTGCTGAGTTCCTCAAACGATGTCTTGCAGTCTCCACAGTATCTCTGAGCCAACAGTTGAATTGTTCGATTCACCTGAGTATTTCCACCGGAATTGCTCACCTGCACCCCATCCTCAATATTCCTAGTATCTGATCTGTGCTCAGCAATCTTCATCAGCAACATTTCCAAAGTTGGTTTGTTTGAGGTCAATGTCTTGTAGATTCTATCAGCCTTCTCCAGCCAGCTATTTATCGTTGCAACTGTCTTCTTTCGATCCTCATCATTTTCAATTGGATCCACAGCGCAGCAAGGACGCGCTGTCAATGTATAATCAAACTTGGCGTATTTACAAAATCCACAGGCGTGACATAAGAAAGGATCCTTCTCGTCGTAATTAATGGCACGACACTTGTGACATTGGAAGACATTCTCTCCACAATTGGCGCAGACACCAGGATTAGCAGGAACGTTGGCTGAGCACCTGGGGCACTGGAGTGTCTCTGAAGAGGCCTGAATGTTCTCGTAGAAATCTGCATACTCAATCATCAAATTACAGGCGACAATTGGAAGTGGAAATTCCATTTTGACTTCAGTTTGGCCTTGGGCGAGAGTAATTTTTTTGGCTTTGTGCCACATGGCTGGTTTATTCTTCAATTCAACAACAGCCTGCACTGTCCTATTGTTGTAAAAGATGTTGATGGTCCTCACCATTTTAGTTCTCTTCAAATCGCCAATTCTCAGCATTATCCTGCTGATTGTGTGACTGGAAACCAACTTGACAATTTGCGTTGTTGTCGTGAATTTTGAATCAACTTTGATAGATGATAATTTAATTGTTGCCATGGGGACTTCGGGATTATTGCAGACTAGACAGGGCTCACTCTCGAGATAGTATCCATCAAGCTCAACGTATTGAGCCAGTACAGTGTAGAGATTGGCACTTGGATGACGTGCAAGCAGTTGATTTTGTGCATGGAGAACAGACACCGCTTGCTCCATGTACGTGTGCATCTTCTTACCAGTGTCGGGAGTTTTGAGTGAAAAATATCCGAGGAGATCGACGAATTGGGCTGCTTTTCTACCGTAAGCTGGTAAGAGTGGCCACATTTTCCAAAGCAGGTCCAACAGGGCTTCCTGATGTGATGGTCCACTGTTCTTGAAGATGGCTAGAATCAGTGAGTGTGCCTGCCACCTGACATTCGTGTTATTAGTCTCGAGCAAGAAGGTCCTGATGAATTTGGTGAGTAATGATGATGACACCTGTCTCTGAATTTGCTCCACAAGAATGACACATTGAGTCTCTTCAAATTTAGCCTCAATGTCAGAATCCTCTGACTTGGCACGATCTCTTCTCTCCTTTGATATTGTACTCTTCGAATCACCACCCTTGGCTTTCGTTTCCCTCGACTTTGCTGTTGAACAAATGGCACACTGAAGGAGTTGGAGGACCGTGGGACTGACACCTTCATCAAGAAGTGTAGAAATTTTGAATAGATAAGAGAGAACTGTATTCTGCTTGAGACAGAATCTCTGCCAATTGCCAGTTCTACTCGTTGCTATTTCCACACAGCATTTGAGGTGTTCAATTAGCTCCACCAGAGAATCATAAGGCAGGACAATGGACTGCTGTTGAGAGTCCAGAGGAAGACCTCCACCAATTTGATTGGTACTGTTGTTGCAGCATTGCTTAACAGATTGAATGTGAGAGACCAGTGCATGCAGATCCCTCAACTGTCTGTATTTCTCCTTATTTCCACAAATAAGCTGCAACAATTTTCGCACCTGACGTCTTATGAATGGAGTCTGATACAGCATCATGTATTCACAGAGGTAAAAGTGCCAAGCTTGCTGATCAAAGAGCGGCTGAATTGATATGTTATTTTCCGCACTGTATTTGTAAATTTGGTAAGGAAGTCTCAGAGCCATTTCTGTTAACAGCTGGGGATATGGTTCAAAGACATCAGTGGCATGACCTTTCACGTACTGGCGAAGGAAGAATGGAGACATGTCTGGTGGAGATGTTGTCAAGTGCTCTTTCAGTAATTGTCCACCGATTACGGTACCTGCATCCTCTGTCGATGTTGTCTTCCAGTATTTCAAGAGTTCTGTCAACAATGTCAGGCAGTGATTGATGACACCAGCTTTGCTCAAGGTACTCGCTGTCATTTGTGACACAAAATTTGAATTGTCATTTTGGGCTTTTGTATTGTACTTGGATCGTGACATCAACACACTCAACAGCCTCATTATAACCAAATGCACTTCACGCTTGTCGGTGCGCTTATTGATGTCACTTATATCAGTTGTATTCATCTCCAATTGTTTAATCAAAATATTCAATAATTTTTCAACACAATTGCGATCTCGTTCGTCCGATCCATCGAGATCGGAAGTTAACATGAGAATAACTTGCATATATGGTATGGAAAGTACTCCAGAGACATTTTGTGACATTTCTGGAATGAATTGCATAAACTTTTCGAGCAGACACAGACGCACTGAGTGTAACTTAGTTGTGGCCTCTGACGGTGGTGGAATTTCAGTTTCAGGCTCTTGTTCAGTGGCCTCGGGTTCTTGTTCAATGACCTCTTCAGTTTCTTCGGCATCATCCTGCTTGTTCTGCTCACTCGCATTGGCATCAGCAGTGCCTGAGGAGCTTGGCTCATCCGATCGTCTACTAGTCTGGGGCTGTTCGTTGTTGGAATCTCCGTACGACGATGAAGACGATCCTGACACATTTTGCTCACTTCCTCCACTCTCACTACCACCACTCTCTCTCTGTTGCTCAGGTGCTGGTGATGTTCTCAAAGTGCTACTGGCATCAGTTGCAGCTGTTGAACCATTGTCAGTGGCCTCATCGTCAGAACCACCGGCTGATGTCGTTGTATCTGAATAATTGCCTTCGTTCCCTCCGACTGATCCAGATGCAGAAGGTCTAACTGGATCTTGAACAGCAAGATTACCTTGCAATCCTCTGAGTCCCTGGGCAGCAGCTAGAGTTTGCAGGCTCCGGAGAGCAGGTCCACTGAGATTCTCCAAGCCTGGAATCCCTTGGAAATTCACTAATCCCTGTTGAAGGACTTGAAGATCAGGACCACCTCCCTCTTGATCCTGAAGGCTCAGAGCAATGGCCAAACCCATCATTGCTTCGTCATCAGCCTCGGGGAGATCGAGAAGGTGTGGGAATCCTGCAGGACCCAGGAGAGCTTCGAGGGGATGGGGAAGACCAGGCAGTCTTTCTGCCTGATCTCCCTCGGCTCCAAGTAACGCCATTGGTTCCACTGCATCGACATCATACTGACGAGCATCCTCCATCTGTTCTCCATGAAGTGACGAGTCCTCCATCGGTTTCTCCTCCACCTCATTTGAATTGGCAGTACCTGAGACTCCTGGGGTACTGCAGTGAGGTGGACTGGGCACGTAAACCCTTCGTTTCTTGTATCTAGGTCTCAGGACTCTGATGATGGCCTGTTTAGCACTGAAACTAACAGCAGTATCGGATGACAAAAGGAGCTGAAGGTAGAGTCTCGCTGCCAGTCCACAGTTCCATTCGATATCACACATTGTGAACGAGTGAATTATCTCAACGAGTGCGTAAGTAATGGCTTCTGTATGGGTTAGCCCTGGAACGACGACTGGTGCGAGGGCTAAATTTTTGGGATAAGCCATGTGGAGGGTCCAGAAGACGTCCATCAATTGGAGAACCATGTGTTGATTGCTATTGGAATCTTGCTGCTCATTCTCATTTCGTTTACTCTGAATCTGAGATATTCTGTCACTCTCAAAGACTGGTATGTCCGTTTCCTTGATGGCTATTGGAGAATTTTGTTCTGTGAATTTTGCAAGATTGTGGGGACGAGAGATGGCGATACTTCTCACGATCAGAGCCAAACGGTAAAAGTTCTCAGCGTCCATCCACGTGACATTGAGATTGCGCATAGATTTCAATGCTTCCAACACATGGTTGAGCAGAACTTGATCCTTGTGGGAGTGATAAGCTATTCGTGACATGTGGAGGGCTGCCAAAAGTGCCATTGTGTGCATCTGAACTGATGGAGGTGTTGGTAGGGTCAACAGATTTGATGCCACATCAACAGCTGTATTTTTGAGGGATGATTTACTCTCATCCCCTGCAGTCAATGTGAAAGATGATTCCAGTACTTCCAAGATACTCGAAATCATTCTGAGAAAAAAATTGAAAAAAAAAATTATCACTTTTTTATGTTTCTCTGGTCGTGGTTTTAATTATCATCGCAAGAAGAAGAAAAATGCGACACATTAGCAACTTTCAGTCTCTTCGTTAATCCCTTACCTCTCTATCTTTACTGATTCCTTTGAAGGTCTGATGCATTACAATAAAAATGAGGGAATTAAAATCTTTCAGGCATTGTAAATGAAAGTATAAATAGCGAGCTTCATACATCAAATCTCGTCCATATATCAAGAGTATTATACATAAATGCAAAGCTCGTGAATATTTGAGAATAATTGAACACTCACTTGTCGACTGATGTCAGTGATGCTGGTGAGATAACTGCAGTTTCATTTTCATTGGTAATTGATGAGCCAGCAGGAACGACTGGGGCTGAAGTGGTCTGTCCCGCTGGAATCTCTTCTGGTTCTTCAGGCCAACCGAAAGCATCTTTAGTTTTTCCATAACTGGAAAAATGAGAAAAACATTAGGAATTGAATTCATGGGTATACGTTGTTCTAAATAAAAAAAATACTCACATTTTGATTGAATCAACCATGATGACATCAGGATCTTGAGACAGACCAAACGTAATTGTCAATTTCTTATCAGCCTGAAGACTCTCTTCCCTCGTGAGAGGAATATCAAACCAACGACTTCTGGTCAAAGACGTACGTATGCTCCTCCCAAAGACCTCGACATAGAGTGGAGCTCTCTGAACATCCTGACTTCCCAATTGCACTCTCACCCCGCACATCACTAAAGTCGGATCATTATTCGTTACCTCCACATTGAATCCAATAGTTCTCGTCGATACGACGTACATGCCAGTTGTATTCAACCGATGTTTGATCTGTGCTACATTATAAATCTGTAGCAGATCATTGCCTCCGAATTCCACATCATTCATCACTTGACAATGCTCAAAGAAATCTATCGGGAATGTCACGGAACCAGATGGTTTTCCGGCTTTAGCAGTCTTCTTCTTCCTAGATTGTTTAATTCCAGCCATTGTTCCAATTGGTTGGACATTGGAAGACATCCAGTAGCCAGTCTGCTCCATGCCAGCCATATAGATCCTCAGGCTTCCATCTTCGCAAAGCAAAATCAGCGTTGTTCTGTGCTCGGCATTTGAACTTGGATGCCTAATTGCCACCATATCCATGATTTTAGCCTTGGGTACAACCTTAATCTCTTGTATCAACACAACATCTGGTTTGATCATCAGAATGACTGGATTATTGCTAGTCTGCAGAACAGAACAGACCAGTCCAGGGTGATTTGCCACTTCACTCCACTGGCACAACGGCTGTGGCTGATTGTTGTTCGATTTGTTGCCATTTGACTTGTTGCTGGCAATGTTAATCATGAAAACAGTCATAATATCTTCATCCATATTCTTAAGAGGTGCAATGAAAGACTTGCCACAAGTATAACTGAAGAAGAGTAGTTGAAGAGCATGAGAATAATAAATCGACACCCCACCCCCTCCAACTTGACCGAAATCTTTGATCTCTGGATGATAAATGTCAAGAGTATTGGTCACATAGAATGGCCCATGTTTGGCAGAGCTAGCATCATTCATAGCTTGACTGTAAATGTAACCAGCAGATGACATCAGAAGAAGATAAAAGACATCATCCTCGGTATGAACGAATGTGCAATCTCTGATTTTTCCAATGGGAACGAGGAAGTAATACTGAGGACTCAGTGCATCCTTCCCGAGGTCATAAATCTTGACGAAATCAGCCGTGACCAGTGCCAGTTGTGTCTGTGAGCCTGGAAGCCACATGGCTTTAATGATGAAATTGCCAGGTTCTCTCTGAGGATGGAGAACCAAATGATCAGAGACTGTTCCAGAACTGTTGAAAGTCAATACGTGGCAGTCCTTCAGTCCACAGACAGCTAAAAAGTCTTCATTCCAGGGATTTCCAGTGATGGAGAGAACTGTAAAGGGAATGGGAGCTGAGGCAAGTCTTGTGAGTGTAAGTTTGCGTTTTGAAGAGTCCGCCTGCTTTAACAATGCACTCAACTGTAAAACCGTGATCTTTCCTTTTTCATGGGAAACAGCTAGGTGTTGTCTTTTGCCATAAGGTGATGACAGACAACACATGGCAACTCTTCGAATCATGTGTGCTGAGAGGAGCTGGCGGATCGTTTGTCCTTGATCGCCGGAGTAATTCATTCTGACGTTCTCAAAAGCCCCTTCTTGAGAGCCCAGAGTTGAGAGCATCAGTTGATCAGTATGAATAAACTTCTTTTCAATGGTATGCAGTTGTCTGAGTGCTATCTGTCCTCTAGTGTGACACCCAACTGGTGAATTCTTCTGACAAGATGCATCAACAGCAGGTATCAACGTTCTGGTGAGCTCGACGAGGGATGTGACAAGTCCACTGGACCATAATTGTGTCAACACCCAGTCTTTGGATCCCTCCAGCTGTTTAGCAAGAGCAACTTGCTTCTCCTTATCTCTTCCATTCCTCTCCAACTTGTCACCAAAACCTGTGGGACTTGAGGCACGTCTACGCAGCCTGTTGTTCGTAGCATTATTATTCAAATTAGAATTGTCACTTGCGCTGGTTGCTCCATTACCAATGAACGTTGAAGCGCTTGATGGGTGTCCTTGGCCCTGATGTTCTGAACTCTGTGGACTACGTTTAGTCAATGCCTGGCAGGATCCATCGTCCTTGAAGCCACAATCACAGAAGAAATTTCCATATTTCGCGTAAGTAACATCATGACCCCTGTGACAGACTCTAGCACAAACTGTGCAGACACCAGCCCCATCAACCATCGAGCAAGTGTGGCAGTGATACCAGTGTTGATTCGTAAATTCCTTTTGTGTAATAGTGAAGGTGCAGAGTTTATTGCAGAGACTATCTTCATCAGAGTCTTCAGCAGCACTGTCCTCGTCCTCATGCACCAGTTCATCAACCCAATCACTGTCATTGAGATCTCCACTTGTTAGAGGCGCTGCACCCTCCCAGGGTGGACTTGTTGCTCGATCCGTTGAGGAACTCTGCAACTGTCTCTGAGGGCACACAGCTCCAACAATATCCGAGATGTAATTCAGGACACAACAGCCTGCTTCGATGTAGGGTGATGGTTTGTCCAGGATTTGTGTGTCAGTGTCTTTGTTCATGAGCTGCTGTTTGCAGAGTTCAACCCAATCTGTTGCCGCTCTGAACAACAGGACATGTCCCTTGTCAGATCCAGCGTCAGCAAGGTTCGACATCACCTGCATCAACTCTGGAAATCCTGCCGCTTCAATTGCAGGAGACAGAATGTGATAACCGAGGGGAATGAGTGCTCGGAGAATTGTCACTGATACATTTTCACCGAGAGTACTGTTGGCCTTGACTATATAATTTGTTAATGCCTGGAGAAGTTGGTTGTTCTCACGCATCAACTGTTGATTTTCTTCATTCGAAGTACTTGATATCGGATTTTGCTTATCAGAATCTAGTAACAATGTTGTAGTGGCATTTGTAGTTGTTGCAACGGCTGATGGTGCTGTGCTAGTAGCTGGTGGAGGTGAAGACCACTGTTGATTATTATCACTGGCACCAGTGTTTGAATCACTCGTAATATTCTCGGTATTACTGGCAATAGTACTGGGTTGGACGTTTGCGGAACTTCCAGGACATCCCAGAATGACGTGTCTCAACCAGCACTGGAGTTTTTCATTATCAACAGCAGCCAAATTTGATACAGAATTGCAGAGACGATCCAATGAACCATCCATATTCTTCTCAGCAGTTCTGAAGAGTTTGCTGAAGAAATGGAGCACATGAGTACTGAATTGCTGAGAGGCTTGTGGCGATGCAATCGACAGGAGAACTGAAACTAGAGTTCTATTTGTGCTGGGGGCAAAGAACTGGTCTAGAGCTTTACAGCCGACTGAATTCTCAAGCAGTTGCTCCCAATATTTGATGCACTGTTTGAGGATATTCCCATCGACTGAAACATTGATAGAAGAATCCTCAGTATTCGTTGTGTAGTCAACGATGACATTGTACGTATAATTAAGCACATAGAGATGTTCTCTCAACTGTCTGGCTTCACTGTCAACAGCCCCCAGAAGTTTCACCAAAGTTTTCGATGCTGTATCGTGAAGATAGTCTGTTCTGGCGTCCATCGTCAGAGGAATTAGTATTTCAATGGCTTGAGCTCTGATCTCAGAATTCTCCGCTGCTGTAGTTGGATTGATGTACTCATAGAGGAAAGCAACCAGGGAATGGAGAAGATTCTTCAATGATGGATTGATGGAGAATGTTGTCCCGTGTTGAGAGAGTGTGCTTATGTGATGATTCACAGTAGCTAGAATGTAGCTTTCAGCTGGGATAATGTCATTGGCGTATGTATTCCAAGGAACATGAGCAACGTTGATGGCCTTCCACTTGTCGAGAACTGATCGGATTGTGTTGGGCAAGAGCGTGACAATTGATGCCTCCATGGCCCACGAGGCACCTGCAACACATGTGATGCCATCGAGAACGAAATAATCCCTCATACTGTACTTGCCAGCACTCGATTCAGAGGATTCGAGCATCTGATAGAGGACACTCGAACGACAGGAAGCGAGAATAGCCTCTGTTAATAATAAAACGTGAGGCAAAATGTCAATGATCATTTTATTGGTGTTTGTACTAGCAGTTTGAGCTGCATTGTTTGATGATTCTGACTTGTTGTTGGTAGATTCAGCGTCTTGTTCCATGGGACTCTTGGAGATGCTCTCGTCCATGAGTACCTGGAGTTTTCCAATGACTGATGCTAGAATTGTTAGAGAACTTAGCTTTGGTAAAGTTGACTTTGGCATTATATTGTCTGATGGATTGAGCTCTGGTTTGAGAGTCTTGATGCAGTTCTTGGCTAGAGTTACATCATATTTAATTGAATTGACTGTTGAGGACACTGTCTTGAGGAGATTCTCAGCGTACTGGGTGTACATGCCCTGTTTAACAAGACAATCCTTCATCCAGCCATTGAACGTTTTGTAGGCAGCCCTGGGCCCCCAGACTAGGGAGTAGAGAAGCATTGGCCCTGCTGGAATTTCCTCACCAAGTGCTAATTTATCCATGTATGGGGTTGATGGAGGAAGCATCAGTATCAGTCTCCAACAAATTGAGAAACAGTACTGAGTTGCACACAATCCTGTGATCGACATTTTATTCTCTTTCCCCTCCTTTCCCTCTTTGTTCTCCACTTTCTTCGGCATGTGGGTTTGATTTACAACATTCAGAATGTCAATGAGGGCATCAACTAACAGAGGATACTTCATTTTATCGGGAGTACCGAGGACAAAGTTCAGGGCGAGGCCATCGAGCTTTGGAGTATCCTGATTATTGAAATCAGCATTCGTCAAGTTGTAAAAACGTGGTTTCATTGTGAATTCATCTTGTGGCCCAACTTTCGGGTAGTTGTCCTCAATTTCTTTCCAGGGAGTGTAGATCCTTGCTGCTTGTTTGTTGCCTTCTTTTGCGTCGGACACGAGGCTTGTGGCTGAGAGAAGATTCCATTGGACCTGAACGACATTTTAGATAATATTTTCAAAAAAATCAGTAAAAAATCATTTCTTTAGTTCCATCATAATTGAAAAAAAAATGTTCGAGCATTGAACTACCACTCAGTTTGCACTATCACGCAGGTGGCCCTGTTATCTCGACTCCATTGGTTGTGTATAATTTTCTCTTGCATTTGATTTGCATCGGTTTGTTAAAATAAAGGAAAAAAAAATATTAGAAGAATGAAAAGAAGCTATGATGATACGACCTGATGAAAGAGTCGATCCGAATTGAAAAATCAGATGCTAACAATTCTGTACTAACTATCTGAGAATAAATACATAAATATTGAATACCTGTTCAAGAAGTGATGGTGGTGCATCATAAAGATGCTTCATCATATACTCAAGCAGTAATAATAGCCTAGAAAGGTGAAGGATTTGTGAATCTTTCATGGGAGTCTTGACAGCTTCGCTGCAACGAACGGCTCCACTCCCAGTCACCAGTAAAACCGACTTTTTCTGCATCAAATTCAATGAATGAAACAGAAACAGAACGAGTTGAGCATGCTCCACATTAAGATCTTCATTCTCTGGCTCAAATGTCACTGGTGGATTGCAAACGTTCTCCACCATTGTCGTGACTAATCTCTGCCAGATGCTGATGCAAGCGGCCTCCTTCTCCAGCTGAGGTTTCAGCAATAAAATTTGTGCCAAAACACTGAGTGTCCTTGGATAAACTTGAAGTGGCCACGAGGTGGAGCTAGTGCCTTCAATTGTCCAAGGACTGACTCCGAGATGCTGTAGAAGTGTATTCTGAAGAGATTCACTCAGAGTATTTCTAGCCAGCAAATTGTGGGTGTATTGGCTCAGTGCTTGAGAAAATTCCGAGTACATGGCACCAAGTGCGGCACCATAAAACACAGAAATTGTTCCAGTCTCGGTTCTAGCTGTCTCATGATCCAAATCTCGAATTATTGCAGCAAGAATCACCATTTGTTGCTCAACAAGCCCATTAATTACATATTCACGAACATAGGAGCTTCGACTGCCAATGAGGTGTTGGTTCATGAATTGAAAGATTTGAGTTGCCAGGGAGATGTACTAAATAGTTCCAGAAAATATTAAAATGAGGGATATTTATTTTTCATTAAATGTTTAGAGTTGTATTGGTGAAATGCTGCACTCACCCCATGTGGCTCTCTATTATCAGGAACAATGGTGGTGGATGGCCTCTCAGCATTGCCCTCATTATTAGTATCTTTGGTAGTATTCGTTGGTGATCCTTCAGAGGGTGACAATGTTTCCTCGAACCACAGGCCCAAGATAGGCTCACTGTCCTCCTCTACCGACATAACAGTTTGTTCTACATCGTGAACATACCCCATAGAGTTAGTTAGATGGATAGAATGAAAGCTAGTGTGGAGTTACGATTTTGCCTTTCACCAAACATCGAAATATACAGTATAATAAACGAAAAGACATTGTTACCAGTGTATCCAGAAGATTTCATGCAATTTCATCATAACAAACACTGGATAAATCAAATAAATGATAGCAGACTAATTACGATGAGGATGAATGATTTACTGAGACAATTACTACCTTCGTCTGTTGAACTCTCTGAGAAACTCAACAGATCCTCGTAGTATGTTGTGGAATCAGATTGACTCAGGGTGTCACCTTCTTGGGGATGTTTTTGTACTCTTTTCAGAGTGCAAGCCTGTAAATTATCCCAACATAATTGATGAAAAATTAACAAAAATTAAAAAAAAACAAAAATATAGAATCGAACAGTTGAAAAAAATGTTCTTACCTTTCTATAACTAATCGTCGCCAAATAAAACAGCAAATGGTTAAGTGGTGCCTCTTGGAGGAAGGTCATGGCACGCTGAAGAGCAGTACTGGTTGCCAAAATATCGAGAGGTGCCGACTCTGTTGGTGATGGTGTATCATTGTTCATCTCAACAGAAACATCCTCAAGCAATGCACTCATGAGGGTCAATGCATGGGACGCAAGAGCAACAGACAAAACTCCAAATCCCTGTTGAACCTTCATGAGATTAATCCTCGATGTCCCATCTCTGGCTTTACTAGGTGACTTTCCCTTCTCCTCTTTAGTCTTATCAGTCGTGCTACTGAAACTGCTAACAGTCAGTTGAGCTTGCAGTCCAGCAACCAGTAACCACACCCCAATGAGCAGATGATTCTGAAGGATATGTCCACCTGCTCTTGTACTGTGTTTTATTATATTCGATACTAATCCAAATATCTCCAGACTCTTTTCAACAACAGCTATCGCCAAGGAGTCGTAATCCTCTTCCGTATTCTTGCTCAATTGACCATGATTCGATCCTTGATGACTCGTGGAATTATTACTCGCATTTGTGCTGCATTTTGGGGAAACTGCATTGGAAACACCAACGATACTTGATGCAGTTGCATTGGCTATTGAACAGTAGAGACAGGACATTGTGAGCAAGGACAATTTCTCAAGTTTAGCTGGTGTCAGTGGCTCCAGCACTGGTAAGGAGACCACACTGTGAACGATGTTTATGTCATTGACAACAGCATGCAGACTGTGCCTGATAATGTGTGCTTCTGCATGATTTCCAGGCAGACTGAAGCCCTTCTTGCTCATGTATGCCTGATATTTCCTCATGTATCGCGATAAATGAGGCAGATTTGAGCACATGTCGAGCAGAGTATCTCCAGCCCCAATCCCCTGAAGTGTGCTAATATTATTAGCAATGAAAATCATTTTAATTTCATTACTCCCTGCATCATTTCCAGTGCTCTCCGTAGAATTCTTATTGATCTCGGTTATGATATCATTGCTGATGGCAATAGAGGGGGCGAAATTTTGCAATGGCATGGTCAATTGCTCAAGTATCGAAGTTGATAAATCATTTCTTGACCTCTTTGATTCTTTAATTGGCTGTGGCGTTGTATCTTTCTCGTTATTCGTAGATGTATTCGTTGTGGCTGTTACACATGTTGGTACATTGGCATTTTTCATAATTGCAATTAGTGCCACTTCGTCTGTCTTTGTCAGGAGGCTCTGGCCAGTGCAGAGTGCACGAATTGGCAGCAGAAGCTGTTTCATCGTTAGAATTGATGATGATCCATCAGCTGGTTGTTTCCCCACGAGATACGTCAGGAGAATTTTGCAGGCCTGACATACTGTGGGTATCTGACTCTTCGACACTTGAAATTCAAAGGAAAGAGGGGATTAGAAAATTCCGGAAGTACCTGTGATATGAAAGAGCTAGAGGTAAAATATTCTGGAATCGAAGGAGAGTTGTGGAAAAGTCGCGAACAAATATTATCAGGGGAGAATGAAAAATGTCTCGAATATATGCTAGGTCATTGAGAAACTCACATGTATTTGCACATCCACTGATGTAATCAGCAACGAGGGCTGTAAAGGACGTGTAAAACGCATCGTACTGCTCCTCGTGGGATAAAAGCTCCTCCTCGCTGCCAAATTGAACGAAAAAAATATTAGATTTTTTGTTTTTTGGGGCGGTCTACTTCATCACTCAATCAATACGATATCCTAATAATACGCATTTTTTATGGATTGAGGAATCCATTTGTGTGCTGTCATTCGCCAACTGCCACTCGTCATTTTCGGAATTTTTCAAAATGACTTTGAAGATTTTTCGATATTGCAATTGCACTTACCTTTTGATAATGGCTTTGATGAGCTCGATAATCTCATTTTTATTGAATGAGCCGTAAGATGCGGCTAAAATAGGCTTTATTATTGACGACCAGTCAACGTTTCCTCCACTTTTCGCTGCCATTTTGGAAAATAATACGAAATACAGGTGATTTTTCAAGTGACGACGACTTGAAACGCTGTGAAAATTCTCCAAGTCGCCATCTTGCGACTCGAGGAGAAAACTCAAAAGAGCGAAGAAGAGGAAGAAGACATACGGGAACAAAGGAAAAACACGTACACTGACGACTGCATGAACTTGTGTGCATTTATCATTTATTGTGAATTTGGCGGGTTCAGCGAAGTCGAGAAGTTTTTATTTTGTATAGCCAAATGTTTTTATTGATCATTACGGTTGAATGTAGATCGAAGGAGATTTAACATACATATCTGCAATTGAATTTTTTTCCAACCACCGGACAACCCACATACACGAAAATGGCAGAAGTTATTTGTCTCTCGTCGGATGACGACTTTCAAGTGAAAAAGGTTAGTCTGCTAGCACAAGGATATTTGCAATGCAAAACAATAATTTCTCGAATAAACAGTGTCCAATCTTGATTACTCCACTTGAATTAATATTTTCCACAGCCCAAGAAGAAATCAACAGATCTCAAGAAACCTGAGAAGCACAAAGATGATAAGTTTAAAAAACGAAAAGCATCGACAGAACTTAACACTTCAACACCGAAGAAACGAATTCAGCTGACAAAAGTTGTTAAACGTCAGCCCAGTGACGATGGGGTCGAAGTGGTGGAGGTGGTCCCCCAAGTACCAAAGGAGGACATCTCTGATGAGAAAACTTTATCTAAATCTGCCTCAATGAACTGGAGTTTTCCATCGACATCTAGAGCTGGATCTTCAAGTGAAAGAAAGAATAATGGGCCAAAACTTATGATAAAGGAGAAACGTCCAGTGGACCGTAATGACATTGGCTCAGAGGTATTCGCCCAATTCTTAAGTCTGTGTCTCACGAAGGATCGAAGTCCTGACATGAAGAAGATTGTTGAAAAACTGAAGAGACGTTATGAGCAGACAGACCCTGCATACGTCCAGTGTCCTGCTTTCATCAGTCTCTTGAACGAAAAGAGGGACTCCCTGATGAAGGAGGGAAGTGTATACACTCACATCTGCGAAATTCATAGTGAAATGAAGTGCCGGAAGAAGGGGGCAGTCCTTCCGAAGGAGGAGGAGGTTGCTGAAGAATCCGCAGTTGAAGAGGTTAGGGCAGAGTCGAGCCCAGTGGATCGCAGGGTAAAACTGCTCTCGAAAGCCATGACAAAGTGTGAAAAGAGGATTAAAGAACTGAGGGAAGCTGAAGTGGATTGGGACGACGACGACAACAGCAACTACATGAAACTATCCAAGTACGAGGAGAAAATGACGAGAATGTACGCCAAAATGTGTGAGCTAACTGGTGATGATTATGACGCTGGGCGTCGTTATCTCAAACCCAAAAACCTCAAAGTCACTGGTATTCCAGATGTAGATCAGGCGATAATAAGTTTTATGAGTAAAAAATTGAAGGATAAGAGGAAAAGAACGCAGCAAGGTTTGTCAACTGCTAACTGCGTTATTTTCCCAGATTATTGCGATATTATAAATTGTATCAAAGAGTGTAATGAGCAGCAGAAACTGAGAATGAAGGAGGAAAAAATTGAAGAAGTCGCAAAGAAAGCATTCGCAGATCTAGGGAATCATCTGCAGAAAGTGAGGAAAGATGATTTAATTGATAGTTTTTCACTGGTGCTTGAGAATACATCGGATCCAGCCCGTGAGAATCCAGAGTTATTGAGAAAGTTGGAGGAGAGTAAAGCTGCAGGTAGAAAGAAGATGGATGAAATTTTTGAGGAATTTGCGAGGAGACAAGACGAGGGATCACGTAGAGAAGATGGCAATGAGACAAAGAGTGATGCTGAGGGGGATAAGGACGAAGAGCAAGATGATGAGGAGGATGATTGTAACGATGTTGACAGTGCAAGTCGGGCTGAGTCCGATATGAGTAACTCCGTGGAGGACTGCTCGACTGATCCCCTGGAAGTCACGGGAAATCCACTGAATGGAGATGGGATGACACATGACGATTCAGAAGAGGTATCAGATTCAGCGGATACGGTACTCATCTCGCCGTCTCGAGTAGCTCACAGAGTTCACCAAATTGACCAGACTCCTTCTAACAGGATGGTAAAACCACATTATGTTGTTGCAGACGTTGAAGGTACTGTGACTATTCCAACTGAGAAACTTGAAGCAGAGGGATGGCGTACTGAAAATCTATCCAAAATAATCAGCAAACCTGGACCGAAGTCCTCAAAAGTCCCCAATCCTGGAAAACCCTCAATCAAAAACATTCAAAATGTCAAGGTGGTCATAAAGGCTCATGAAATTGTGAGAATCAGCGAGTTTCAGGATCAGACGGCATCAGGTGGTGAGCAATCCTCAGTGTCAGAAAATGACTTAAAATCGGCAAAATCAGTTGTTGAAAGTATTAAATTATTTCCCGATAACGGGGAAAATGGGAAGGAATCCCCAGATAATGAGGAGACAGCATTTGGAGGAGGTTCTAAAGAGAAAATTGAGAGAAAAGTGCCTTCTGCTGTCAATTCATATATAGGGAATACTATAATTTCGAAGGAGCTTGAATTAAAAAATGGAGGTGTACCAAGCCAGCCAAATTCCAAAGTGTCGAAAACTGCATCTATCACTGAATCCACATCAACACTCCAGGATTCACCGCCTAAACAGATTGCCATTGAGGATAATCCTCCGACGAAGGCCGCAAGTGTTGAGAATCCAGAGATTACATCGAGTACTGAAAATATCATTGCCGAAAGTAAATCACCTCAACTAACAGTCTTGGAAGATGTAGCAGACCAAGTGGATGATACAGCAGTTACCGAGAACGATTCTCCATTACCAGATTCAACGTTGCAAGGGGCAGATATAAAAGAGGCTGATAATACCAAAGGTTCGTCATTAACTGTTCGTTTGAATGTTTAAATATTCTTCGTCAATGCAATGTAACTCGAGTAATGAAGCGGGATTTTTTTTTTTTTCAAAGAAATATATGTATAACTGTTTTTGGTAGACATCAATAAGTCCGAAATTGAAACACGACCAGTATTGAAACTCCGTGCATTCGCGAAGCCCCCCGAATTCTGGAACAATTCTCCAGAAAAGAAACTGCCAACTCCGAAAATCAAGAAAACTGCAAACCCACCAAAAACGATTGAATGCGTAGATTTGGAGGATAACACAGTCGGAACGAATAGTTCATCATCCAGTGCAGGTAAAAATTCGAATTACGGTGATCATTGAATGATTAATGTGCCGCATAGAAACTTAATTCATGAGTGAAGACCTCTAACATTGGATCCATTGCCACAGGTGCATCATCCTTACCACGAGCACGAGTGCCAGGGAGTGTAAATATGAGATCAGCGGTTAATCGAACAGTCAAGGATCAGTCGACGGTCGTTAGGATCATTGAACACGCCAAGCCCTCTAAAACACGAGTGATCGACGCATCGCGAGCAAAAATCTTACCACTGGATCCTGCAAGATCCTCCAGTATAAAAAAAAATAATTCTCTTTTAATCATGAAGCAATCACCCGCCAGGCCGATTCAAAATACTACTGTTGGATCATCGAGTGTTCAACAGGACCCAAGATATGTTCGTATGAATACTGCGATTCACACTATGTTGACGAGCCCCTCCTGTCATAAATTGGTAAATCCCGTGTCCATGCTGAAAATCATGAAGAAGCGTCAATAATCCTGGGGAGACAACGGTGACTTATTGTGGGGCCTCAGGAGCTACAAGAATAACACGAGATGTATATTATTTTCTTATATTTTATCGTCACATATAATTAAATTATCGATGAATAGGACATTAAAGAAAAATTTCATATGATGCTTTCAAGTGATATGCCTTTATAATTTGATCACGTTTATTGTTTGATATTGTCTATTATTGACTTGGTGAGAAGGAAGCGAGGGTCTGGTAGATTCTCGACGATGTCAAAATGATCGATGTTGTTCCTCAATAATATGTATTCCACTCTATCCACGAAATTCAAGAGTTGCTGAAAACGATCATACGACGATTATTGTGATTCATTGTTATTCATCTATTATTGACACCATACAGAGGGAAATAAAAATTTGATATTCTTATAAAAAAAAAAACCTGAGTGTAGTGTCGTGATTCCTCTATGAATTTCGGAGCATCGCATTCACCAACAGCCACAATAACTTTAATTCCCTCCACAGGTGGTAATTTCCTGGTATCCACGTCGTTGAAACTGAATTTTTGAATTTCATCCTCGGTTAGTTGGAGAGGACCATTGTAACTGGTTTTCAGGAGTGGTCGGAGAGTGTAAATGCCACCAATGAGAACAAGACCTTTTAGCGATTGGAATAAATTCCGTTCTGTCATCAGAGTTCTCCATTCCAAATCATGAAGAAGACTCGCAGCTAGATGGGCTCCTGCACTGTGTCCACCGAGCCAAACGCATTTAGCTCCATTTTTTTTACAGAGCTTTAGAATTTCCTCGGTGACGATTTTTATTTGCGTGACAACGTCGGATAACTTCACTGAGGAAAAGTGATTTGGCTCGTTAATTGCCATTGATGCATGACATTTTTTTAACATAAAAATTAAGAAATATGAAAATTTGGTAAAAAATTTCAATTAAATCCAATTTGCACCAATTGAAAATTATTTTACCTGTTGGACAGAGATCATATCCAACATTAATAACTTTTATTCCTTCCGCAACGAGAGCAGATATTCCAAATCCGGCAAATTCTTTACTACATTCCTGCCAATATCCCCCGTGGATGAAGACAAATACTGGGGTACCTGAAATTGTGTCTCCTCGATCAGATATTTAAACAACAGAGCGTAAAAGAGGTGCTTCAAGCATTTTACCGTTTGGTAAATCCGTTCCATAAATATCATATTTCATCCGATCACTCGATCCATATGGAATGTCCAGTTGACAAGGAATTTTCTTCCGCATTTCGCTAGTCACTGAAATTGAAATTCCAAATGATATTCCGCAATTTGAGATGACAATAATATAATATAGAAAGGGGAGAAAGTCCTTTTACCCTTGTGAGCTAGCTGCAGGAATTTAGACTGAACTTCCATATTTCCATATCTCTTGCTCCACGCACTCGGCGAGTATTCCCTCTCATATTCCTGAGAATAAAAAATTACCTCAGCAAATTATTACAATCTATACGAGTTTACACCAATATTCTCTGATTATTTACGGGATCGATGGACATTGTTAATGATCAATATTCACACTCCGCCACCATTAGAAAGTCATATAATAATAATATGGAAACCTACACACTGGTCAGCGTGCAGCTTCCATTACAACTCGTTTTCCAACATTTATCTCTCCGTGCATATGGCCTGACTGGCTCAGAGTGTGTTCTTCGGGTTTCACATTACGCTGGAACCGCTGTGGGCGGCTACGTTCATTCGTCCACGACTACATATCCCCGACTGTGCTCAGACTAGTGAAAAGTCTAAGGGAACAACTGTACATAAATTCAACTGCACATAAAAAAAACTGTCCATAACGGAGGGGCCCGTTCGTACTTACACAACTGTACACATCCACGACTGTCCACAGATTTATGAAAAAAAAAAATGAGGGAACAACTATATACAACCACATCTGTGCACGGTCCTTGAAGTCGGTCAAAAAGTGTCGGTAGAGTAGAAATTGCATTCGTTTTATTTGCAGTCGATATTAAAATTACGAATGGCGCCATGTGTCCCACTATTGAAAACGCTAAATATCAAAACGCCACCTATGAATGGCGGATATTGGGCTGCACACAGACAGTATTCAACCCAATTTGGGCTTGTTTGGCGTGTATATGAGAAGCCAAAATCGTCCATATTGGAGAAAACGAGCGCCGCCATCGGTAATTAGCGGTCCCAATAGCACAAATGATCGTGCCAAAAAATCAAGGAAAACTTGAACTCAATTGTTGCAAGACAATTCGGTTCTCAGCTCGTAACCCAGTGATATGTACGTCTGGTGCATCTTTCAATAGTCAGACAAGTTAACAATATCATGATGAAAATATAACAATCATCGGTGCTAAACTATTTTAATGATGAACACTCCAGGAGATCCTCTGTTTTTGTTTTTGAACTGATAATACATAACCTCATAACCAGAGGCCCGCGCGCTGGTCTCCCGTATGACCTCATATGGTATAAGGAATTTCATCATTGTGAATAAAATATCCACTCTCAAACAATAAAAGTCATAGATTTGTATTCTACAAACGATTTGCAAACGATTGAAAAAAAAAGTGAAAACTTTTTTTTCAAAATTTGTCGGCTAGTTTCATGCATGACCTTGATTAAATAATTAAAAAAGATCCATAAACTCTTAAACGGTGAAAAGAGATGTACAATGACCTGCTAACGAATTACAAACGATTCTATACGGTCATTTGTTTGAAAATAGTTTTTTGTCAGCTAGTAGGATACTCGTCGGAAAAAGATCCGCGATTGTACCAGATGTCCACTGTTAATTACACGCATATGTATCCCAAGTAGACTCTTTTGAATTAGCACTGCGTAGCGCAGTCTCATTTGGATTGAGACATCAATCTAATATCATTGAATGGTTTCATAAAATAGAAAATGCAAAATAAACTCGCTGTGAATTTGTATAATTTTATCGAAGAATAATTAATGGGATTTTAAAAGAAAGAGTTCTATAGGGTGTAGGAAGTGGAAAAACGCAATTCTGAGCCGTCCATC